ACATATAATATAATGCTGTTTAAAGTGAAAGAAGCACTCAAATTAAGATTTACAATGTCCAGAAGGTTATAAAGGGGTTTGTATGGATTACTAAAATACATATCGATATATTATTCCATTAAGAAAGGACAAAATCGATGGCAACTGAAAGGTCATTTGAGGTGGGTGGTTTATCATAATTGTGTATTGTTTGTGCGTATTATCTCTATGGCAACCCTCCAGCTTCCCAGTCGTTACAATGGTCACCCATGACCTCTGATCATAACCACATCTAACAATCTGATAGAAATCCCATTCCACTATAAAAACACAGACTGCATTAAAACACAAGGGAATTGACACAGACTAATACTCAAATGAAATGCTGTGTTTTAAAGTGTGCATTAAAATAGACATTTTAAAATCACCACCTGCAAAACGCCATTTAAACAAAGACACACGGACATTAAGCTAAATGAGTCTGATGGAGATATATTCGGTAACGGGTCACAAATTAATTCTATTTCATGATTATTTTCACTTTCTGTGAGTCTCCGAGCGTACATTACAGATACATAAGGCCTTTTGATGATCACTGGCCAATGGCGGCTGTATAAAGATCTCATCAAAGTGACAATTTAGCACAGCTCATTGTGTTTAATGGAGTGCTGTAAAACACATCCTTTCCAGTGTAATTAATGACAACAGAGGACACAAATGTGGATGAGGATTGTACATTTACTCTATTTGTGGAGCTGGTCGTGACAGCATTAACAATCAGTAATGAAATTGTATCACATAGGCATCTCTCTATCCATGCAGCAGTAATTAGTCCTTATATCAACAGTCATCAAGAGCTTTACTTATGTGAGATGAGCAGTTGTGAGAAGTAGGGTATTGTCAAATATTTATTTCAGAACTGGAACACATCATCATTTCAAGAGTAAAGTCTCTTAAAGGGTCCATATTACGCTATTTTATGATCTAGTATTTTATAATGTTGTTTCCTCAGAACATGCCTGGAGTTGTGTTTTGTTTCTTTCACACGTTTACCACACAGATTGCATATTTAGATTGAGTTCTTCTCTCAGAAAACACCCTGTTCCACCTTGTGATGTCATGTTTTAATAAAGGAAGTGCTCCACTGTGTTTTTAAACTCCATACATCTTCACCAGAATCATTTGGATTTCAGCTCTGGAAATGCCAACCTATACTAAATTAAAGGTAAAAGGTAATGGTAAAGGTAGCTGTTAACTTGCACATTACAGCTTCATGATATCACAAGTTGGAAGAGAGCATTCTGAGCTTTGAAGATATAAATAATAAAGGGTTACTCAAACGTAGGAATGAAAGAAAACAGAATTCGAGGTATGTTTTTGATGAAGTAACAACATTGTAATATGTCTTAAAGCTTACAGGAGTCAATTTTGCATTATATAGGACCTTTAACATTTACTACATAAGTAGATTAACATACACAAAACTAAAAGCAGTTCCAAATATGAATCTATTTATCATCAGGACATCTATAGCCTCCAGTTATTTCTACATCCGTAGTAATCAAAAACATTGAAGAATTGGTTAGAGGAAAAAGAATGTGCAGAAATAAACTAGTGAGTGTCTGCTTGTATTTTTACCATTTACTGCCAGAAATGTGTCACTTTCAAGCAACACAACTGTAGAATTATCTCTAATGTGCATGATCTTTGTGATCTGTACAAGGCGTGTCTCCTGTCCTCACACTGTAACCTCTGCTGTTGACATAGATATAGTTCACACCTGCACAGATACCAGCTGAGACTTTTCATGAAGCTACAAACAGTACATCCAAGGAATTCTAAGATTTTTCTATATGCTCTTTTTGTTTCTAATGCTCCACATATGTAAATACATGTTCAGATTTTCAAGAAAAAATTTTAAAAACATAAAAAAATTTGACTGAATGACTAAAATAGTTACAATGTTAGCACTGTATATAGATTAATGACAGCACTCACAAGACTAAAATTAGATTCAGTGGCACTTTGACATAAGTGCATATATGATTTTGACTTTGGGGACGCCAAGGCACAGAAACAAATTGTAATCCCATAAATGTGTGATCAGAATCAGCCATAATGTCAAAAAATATTCAAATGGCATCAAGTTCTTTGAGAGCCGATGTAAATGTGTTTTTACATGTGCACCATTTGTATGTATGGTATTCACAGAGGCAGAGGAATGAGCTATACCTTGCGAAGCCGAGTTGCCATTTCATTTCAAAAGAGCTCTGCTATGCAAATGGATGACAGACATATTTTTCATCACTTTAGTAAAAGTAGCACGTGAACACAACATCATTCATTATATACGTGGCTCGCATGGATGCAAGGAATAACATAAGAGTGACTCACACTCTTGTTTGGACATATTAAGATACAGTATTACACTTCATACCATACTCTATATCAGGGGTCACCAAGCTTTTTTTCTCTGGGGGCCATATTATGGCTCCTGACTGTAATTGGGGCCAGGGTTGGGTAGGCTGTATAGCAGAATAGTATGATCCTGATGACGGAGATTATATTCTTTGAGAACCACCACACTTTCTTAACATATCAGACAAACTGCACAGTCCTTACACTGAACAAAAAAAATAATCCGTCATCCACTGTTCTTTGAAAACTCAACACTCTCTGTTAACTTTTTGTACTTTAACACAAGCCATTTTGCTGTCCTTAACTGCACTACAGTACTCTGACTTGACTGTCTCTGTTTAATCTCGCTTGTCAGGTGATGAAAATTCGGCAGCAAATTCGGGAGGGTTAAAGAGGCGTGGAGGGCCAGAGTCGCCCCGTGGGCCTTAGTTTGATGACCCCTGCTCTATATATCTGTACAACAACTCACCCTTATGTAATAGATAGCCTTTTGTCATGTCAATCACTTTTTCATCTTTGCACTGTTTCTCCTTTCTCTTGTATATCACACAAATATATTTTGTATTACTATGGTTCTATATTTTGTATAATTATGCCATATTTGACATCAGTCTCTTGCTATTTGTGCTACTTATTTTGAATTTATTACTACCATTTCTCTTTTAGCGTTGTATTATTAAAATTATTGTGATGTGTGAGCTACTGCGTCCAAATAATAAATAAGTCTCATGTAGCTGCAACACTACACATTTCTAATATTGGTTAGCATCTGTAAGGTCTTGAGTGAGTGACAGCTCGATTCAACCAATCACAGTGAAGTACAGAATTGTTATCTGGAAGAAAATTGTGTTGCTTTTTTTTTGTCATATAGCCCAATCCTAACATTTACCTGAGGAAAATGATAAGGATATACTGCATGTTTTTGTTGAAGCTGGGTGTCAAAATGTGTTGATTTTCAGGTTGCTTGTGCCTGTGTTGTTGAAGCAGGCAGTGGAGGTGTCTCAGAGGAGCCCTGTCATGGTGGATGCTCGGCGGGTGAGGACAGAGCGTCTTATGTCAGCCTCTGCACTGGGACTGTGAGGCTCAGAGTGTGGGCAGCCAGGGCACAGCCTTCAACACCAATCTCATGTTTGTGTGAGAGCTCCCGGGGGCTTTCACTGTCAATAAACATGTGCACGGTTCTATAGTTTGCCCCCAAAGTTACAACATTTCTGCACAGTTACTGATTGAATTGGATGTTTGTGTGTTTTTCAGTACTATTGGGATAACAGGTGGCAAATGTAAAAAATCTAAACTGTAAAAACAATTTAAAGATGCACTGCGTAAGCTTTGTAGCGACGGGTATGCCAATTGCTTGTCTCCATGTATAAGTCATAGTTTTGGATCTGGAACATTCCACTGTATGTCTTTAAACATAATCAGCATTTTCATTACAGGTGTTTTATTGGCCCTGTGCGTGTCTCCATATAGATGGATTAGTTTAAAGCCATACTGTGAAACATTCAAGGCAAAGCAATAGCATCTCCTTATACACAAACAGGTAGCATGGCCTCTACCTGAAATGTTACCAAATGCACCATTAAAGTGTATTTTTGTGTATGTTTTGGAGGTTCTGTCAAATGCTTTCCTCAGTGGAAATATTGTTGCTCTGTCTGGAATGTTTCAGAGTATTGGTATTTAAGCTTCCTATCTCCATGGAGACCAAACCAGACAAGTTACAAGTTAGATCTGCGGGGAGGCAACCTCGCTCACAGTCAGAATGCCTGTTTTTCGAGACATTTTTGAACTATATAAAATCACCTGTAATGTAATAAATGTAAGGTAGAGCTTTTTAATGTCATCCTGTGGAACATTCTAGACAAGGCAATGACATATTGACATATCCATAGAAACAAAGAGGTGACGGACCCTCAACCAAAAAGTTACATAGTGCACCTTTAAGCATTGCATTGTTCTATTCTTGTTAGCTCTCATTTGAATACACATAAACTGACTTTTTTGTCTCTATGCAGATAAAACAGTGCCATAAACAGTGTCCTCTCTAATACAGAGAAATAAATGTGTGAGCGTACCATGCTCCTATGCTACAGGCCAGCATCAGTGTGGCTGTCAGTAAATGGGAGCCTGCAGGTAAAAGGGTCATGTGGCAGCAGCAGAAATATGTGTAGGTCAGAAGCGCTCTGTGCACTGTACCTCCATTTCTGTTCTATCTGTGGCTATACTGTATGTAGAACCACTATGATAGCATGAAAAAGGGTGTTAACAAAAATTTCACTAATATAACTTTTGCCCTTTTTTGTATTATAAGAAAAAAACCTAAATAATCTATGCTCGTAATATATTTTTTCTTAGAATTTTGGCTTTTAAAAGTGTCAGAAATTATATATTTTTGATGACTTCTTGTTAAGTGAAAAAATTGAACTAAAAGTTAAAATGCAAAATGTTCCTCTCTCCAAACTCCAATAGAAAGTAATCATTGTCTTATTGATCCAGGTACTTCCTATCTTGTATTAAACTAGCATAGATTCCACTGCTTTGCTCTGTGTCTGCATGTGTGATCAATAAACCAATGCGAAGATGAGAAATGCAGTAGTTTGACTTACAATGTGAAGCTTGAGGAAGTCTCCGAGACCAGAGGAGCTGTCCACTCGCACCAGGACGGCGTCTTTGAGGTGGGTGCTGAAGCCGATGGCGAGGCGGTCGGCCCGGGTGCTGGGGCGGTCATTCGGAGGCCAGGTGTATGTGATGAGTCCTCCATCGCGCCCAAATATGTATGTGGTTCCCGCTGCAGAGAAACAAGAGCAAAACATTAGGATACATTAAGATCTAGCTCGAATTCAAACTGGAATTTTTCATGAGCACTAAATAATATATTTACACATCTCACCTAAGGCAGTGCAACAATATTTAATCAATATATACTGTGGAATAAGACAGATTTTCATTGCGGTTTACAAGCTCTTGAAAGCACTATAGAATGTCATTATTCATTCACTCCACACACGCGGCTACTTGTAAAAGCCTCTTGTTTAACTACACCTGCCCCGGGGCCAACTGACTGAAACATGGCTGCACCACAGGCACCATCAATAGCTCTCTCACACACCGCATTTGCCCAGGCAATTTGGAAGAAAAGGCTTGCCCACGGGCACAAGATTATGAACTGTTCTGAGCTGAGATTGAACCATCAACTTTCTGGTTATAGCTATAAAAATGAATCCTCACAGTTCCAAAATTACACAAAGAACCCTTGGTTAGGAAATAAAAATGTCTCTTGCTGAGTTTGAGCAACTTAAGAATGGTGTTAAAACTAGTTTGTCCATGTAATCATCTCATGATGACTATCTGTGATATTTTACATCTGAAAGTGGCCCATACTAGCCTGATTCATGAGCTGGTTTCAGTTTGTGGAAACCATCTGATCTCGCAGCATTAGAATTCGTTTGCTTGACGGAAGGAGGATGCTTTTTTTTATTTAACCAATCACTGCTCTTTGGTTGTGACATATGTAATGTGCCACTAACGGTGCTAAATGATACATTTAGCTTTTCCCAAATCCAGTAGGAAGAAGGGCGATAACGTCTTTCCCCTTGATAAAATTCACCAAACATTCTCTTTGTTCTGGCTTTAAATCCTCGATCTTGGGATAATCTTTGCCAACACAGAATGTATGCCTCTTCGCCGATTGACTGGTGTCCAGACTTGCACTTCTAGAGTTTCTGCAAACTGTCTAGTGTAGTCCGATTCCTGACCTAGTCACTGGAGAGAAATGAAATTGGTGGCAAGGCCCATACCCCTGAATCTATACCATTCAGCAAAAAAATCACACACCACATCAGATCATTTTAGGAGAACTTGCTGTTGACTATCAGGTGAAATAAGGACTGTCAACAGTATTAACATAACAAAGGCACATGCATACTCCTCCATTAGACCGGAGTGCTTTACTGTGCTGAGTAATGACTTTGCAGAGCACCGCACCACATATCTCTCCTGAAGCACCCTCACCTTCATTTGCTGCTTTAAGTACACTCACGAGCCTATTCACGAGTCAACGGAAAAACCCAGTGCAAATGAGAGAGGCAGATTCTGGTGTCACTTTCCTCATAACGCCGTGCAATTACTCTGTTTTACTGCCTCACCTCCAAAGAGTCTCCGGCAAATTTGCACACACCACATCCAGGGCGCCAAGGTAACCAGCATGCCAAAACGAACCACCTCTCTGTCTCTCAAATCATTAGTGACCTCAAAGGCAGACAGACCACTAGCAGCATTAAAACGGAGTCACCGGTCCAATTATGGCCCAGCGGTCACCTCTAAACCAGCGATCTCCAGTCCATTAGCAAGTTGACTTCACAAGCTCGTGAAAGGGTTTAAACGCAACCTCATAGCAAGGCAGGCATGATGGTGCTAATCGAGTGAAAAAAGTAGCTGGTCAAATTGTGTGGAAAATGCTGGTCCTAATGAGAGAAATGGACCAATTAAAATCATGTTTTATTAAAAAAAAATAGTTATTCTTTCAACAGATTTGACCTTGCTACAAGTTAGTAAAATTGTGCCTTTGCAACCAAGCATCTCACTAATAACAAGATAATATTTTTTCAAATTTTTCCACATTTTAGTTGCAGTGTTGAATTCAATTAAGGGTTTTATTTTGTCTTATTCTGCTCTCCAGACCCTGCTGCATCTGTAGGTGTCATTGGCTACGTCCTCGGCCAATCAGGAAGATTTTTACAGCCAAATTAACACAAATTGCTTAAGTAATTTTCCTGATTAAGGGAGTTTCTTTTTCTATTTTCACCAAAACTTTGAAAAAAGACTTAGGTAATTATATTAGGGGGGTAACAAAATGTGAGTTCCATAGAAGTTACCACATTAATGAAGACTTCTAACACTTTTTCAATGTGTTTCAAATGTTTTTTTTTAAAGCAAACTTTTGTGGGAAGTCAAGTGCAAATGAACCCATTAAACGTGTGTGAAAACTGTCAGTCTAATTAAAGAAACATTTCAAAACAAAACATCCATTGACACCTGCCAACTACCAACTTTTTTGTGAGACCTGACACCATCACCTCAATCAAACACATTGATATATTTAGCTAATTGCACAATGTTCATTCATTAAGATAGCAGTGGGGTTCATTGGGCAAAAGTAGTTGGGGGTTGAAAAAGAAAGAATGAAAAAAACAAAAAAAAAAAAAAAAAAACAGAAAATTGCAAAGTAAATGCCTGAGAGAAAGCCAAGAAAATGAATGCAGCTGTCAGATTAGCATAAAAACAGCTATCTTCATGAAAAATTAGACAAGGAGGAAGCCAGCGCAGGCCTGTGTGTTTTTGCATTTACATATGTGTGTGTGTGTTCTCCTAGTGTGAAGGAGAAGCACTGTTAATATTCATAGGGCCAGGGAGTTAAACAGCCTTTGCCTGAACAATGGATAATAAATCACACAACTGTAATTCCAATATTTTCTTGTAAACCAGTTCACAATGACATAAAACTATTGATATATTTTACATGATTATTTATATGTCTCCCTTCACTGCGCTGTGACTAAAGCATGTCATTTTGGAGTTCACTTGCAGTTCTCCTTTCTCTCATTTTCGTCGATTCACAGCGAAGCCATTAGTTTGAAAAAATAGCATCATTAATTAACAATACCATGATTAACAAATAGCAGAGGAGGCCCACAGATCTATGACAGAATTTATTGTTTTCATAAAGCATAGCGCACATTTGTTAGACATAATGAAATAACGCTGTAAGCAGTCTTGTTCTTCTAATGGATAAAGCATTACAGAACAAGATGGCTTCTACACAGGAAAATGCATTAAATGTAATATATTCGCCGAGCAGGGCATCATTTCTTTTTCATGAAGTCTGCCGGCTAGCGCTAAAAAACTGTTCTTGTACAGCTAATGCATATCTGATGTTGCAGGAGATATTTCGAATGCATGTAGCCAGAACTGGACTGGTGTCACTGTCCTCAAGTTTACCCCCTCTAGTCACAAACGCTTGCACTTTGCTCTGGCGTATTATAATTAAGCTCCTCTAAAGCGTGTCAGTGAACTTGCCTGGGCCTGGAAGCCACCATTTCCTCCTCTCTCTGTTCACCAGATATGACACCCGCTTTATCCCAATGACAGCTTATTTACTTGTGGGCGAACTCAAAAACACTGTAATGCTAAGATCTATTTTGCACAGTGTGTAGAGGCACCCGCAGTTTAATAGCTTTCTTGTCACACACCAAAGGTCACCCAAACTAACTGGTCTGTTGAATGCGAGCAGTGATACATAGTGCAAATATATACATGTGGTAGCCCACATTATGTCCCTCTGTGTACTATGCTTTTAATGGTCTTGTGCTTGGACCACCTGTTTGCACCTCCATAATAAAAGCATTCAATTTATTCTCTAGTTTACCAGGCCCCACTGTAGGGCTGATTGGGATTTTTCTTGCAATTTGTAACGGTTTTAATATCAGTGTTCATTTTCAACATACGCACATACATGTTTTTGAAAAGAACTGGTAATCTAATAATTACATGCATTTCAGCACATGCATGTGGAGGTATAAACTAGTCTAAACTAAACCTAAATAAAACGTCATGCAGATGAAATATTTAGCTCTATACAGAGGATACTATGGCCTAACAGATGATTGGTTTAATTGTGACCAATCAAATTGCAGTAACAGCCATACACTGACACTTAATATTGCAGATCTAGAAAAAACTGTTTTGTCAATTGACCAGTTTCAGTAATTAAGATGGTTTAGATCAAGGTTTCCTTTTACAATTAACTACATGAAAATTAATTATAGATTATAGATACATATGTAACAATTTATTAAAACAAACCATAATTTATATACAGTATGTTCATTATTTAGAGCTGTGCGACGATATATACAACAACCCACCCCGGAATCACAACCTAAAGGGTTTAGGCTGAAGTCAGAACTTACTTATGATGCCTAACCCTTTCACTGGTCAGACTGTGAGGAGTATGCATATATACACAAGTACAAAGGGTCTTTATATAGAACTTTAATGCGTTCAAAATCCACAGCAGCAGATAGTGTTAAACTCCTTGGGGGGCTGTTGGGGATTAAGATACAAGGGGAAACATGGCTTATGTACACCTACATGTTTGTGCAGCGAGGCCATGAAATCAGGAGCCACGTGCCTGTGTATCTCTGCTGGTAGCAGTAATTATGTTCCCGCTCCATATTTGTTATTTGTGTTCTCTCCTGGGAAGGTGCAGGCACCGATATGGATCTGCTGTAGTCATTAGATACACTCGTGTCCTGGAAATACTCAACTCCGGTGTCTTTAATTTGATGAAACTTATTCCCACATCGCCATTTGACTAAGACGACAACATGTAGAGAGAGACAGGAGACTACAATCAGACACACAACTGCACTTTCCCTGTGGCACAAACATCACGACATAGCTTCACTTTCAAGGCCAATTCAAAAACCTTTATACATTTTTTTTCAACAGCTGTAGCAACAGTGTGTAATTTGAGTGGCATGTCACCTGCATGATTCTACGGAAACAGAAAGTTATTGCCCAAATTATTTCAGTGCAATAAAAACATCAAAAAACATGGCTGGATTTTAGTCTAAAAGTCAGTATTATTTGTGTGATGGTATAATCCTTTTGCCGTGAACACCATCCACTAAAAATGATACGAAATGACATTATGTAGAGAAATATGTTAGCTCTGGCTCTGCGGAGTGGGCAGTTGGGATTGCTTTGGTTTCATTTCACCACCTGTTC